TCAGGAAAACATTTTTTGTGAACTATGTGTCACCTCTGAGTAACAATAATTACACAGCAAGAACTTTTACAAATAATTATCTTTATTTTTTACCTCATGAATGTGTTTGGTGTCGATCATCAGTGCTGTGACTGTGTTGTCACAAATCAATCTTAGCCTTCTTTGAAGTTAGCTGACACCAGTTATCTAACCAAGCTAGCTAACATTAATGTGTAAGCTTTCTTGTGCATGTGCATTATTTGTGTGTGCGTGTCGGTGTGCGTCTGTGTGTGTCTGACATCCCGAATGAGAAAAACGAATGAGCGTTTGAAGCGGGCGCTCTACCAGTCTGTTGAGGTGAAGAGAGAGCTGAGCCGAAAAGCGAAGCTCTTGATTTACCAGTCTAAGTTCTTACCCTCATGTTTGATTCTGAGCTTTGTGTCATGTCTGAAAGAAGGAGGTCACGGATACAAGCGGCCAAAATTAGTGTTAGGTTTTTGGGTGTCTGGACTGTCCCTTCGAGAGAGAAGCTCAGTCATCTGGGAGGAAATCAGAGTAGAGCTCCTTCATGTCCAGAAGAGTCAGTTGATGAAACCGGGCTTCTGATTAGGATGCCTCCTGGTCTCCTCTCTGATGAGATGTTCCAGGCTGGAGGGACTATGTTTCTCAGCTAGCCTAGGAACGCCTTGGGATTCCCTGGAGAAGCTAGAACAAGTGCCTGGGGAGAGGGAAGTCTGGGTCTCCCTTCTTAGGCTGCTACCCCCATGACTTGACCCCGGATAAACAGAAGAAGATGAATGGATGGATGGATTTCTTATAAAACTGCTTAAAAAGTGAAAAATGAAAATATTTCAAACATGAAATAATATTTGCGTGAAATAAAACAGCAGAAAGTGTCATACTAAACATTATTTTGAATCAAAATGACAGAAGTAACATAAAAACACATTGATTTAAAGATGGGTCCAAAAAGACCCACTCATGTATAGTGAATATGTTATCCATCAGAGGGTTAATATTACATAATGCAGATTAATTGAACTACTATTTTGACATAAAAGCCTCTTTCCCCAGAGGGTAACGTAGTTCACAGCTGAGCACTATGAACTTGACATATGGGGAGCGATGAACGACAGCACAAGGGTAAAGTTTTCCACAGCAGTAGACAACAAAAATTGAACATAGGAAGGTAATGGAGAGGGTAATTTCTGAATTAACACAAATAACTTCCTTTAAACATTCCTGAATATACAAAACTGAACAATTGAGAATCTTAAGATCTGTTTGGATTGAGACAAAACATTTTCTGAAAACGTTTTTAATATGGGCTACGACAGGATACAATATATCCTGTGAGTTGTCCCCTCAACAAGTTTGATAATACTTGTATACAAGTGCAGTGCTGTAAGCTGAAAAAATCAGAAATAAAATCATCACAATAAACTGTATGAAATTCATTATTTTTAAAGGATACTTTTCAATGAGCTAATTTTAAATAATCAAATGGAAAAAAAAAAACACTAGAAAAATACAAAAACTGAAATACACAAGAAAATGTAAATATAGTTAATGGGAGCAACCTAAAAGCAGTAATATGCTAACATAGTTTTTTTTTTTCTGCAGGTTACGGTTAAACCCTCAACAGAGTTTCAGGCCTTTCAATAATGTGTTACTGATATCACTCATTTTATCTTTCCCCCCTTCACCCACTGCCTGGCTGTTAGAGTAATGCTCACATAATATTTATGCTTCAATATGTCTGATGTCTGCGTGACATTTTTTATAACTCTGTTGGGATCAGATTTTAAATGATATCTGTCAAAAAGGAAATGGCTTTCCTTCGCCATCCTATTTAAATGTAGCCACATCTATGGCACATTCACGGTAATGTGGAAATAGAAATGATTCAGCTGCAGCTCTGTGGCTCTGAATACCAACTGTGCTCTGGAGGTGTGACAAACAAACACATGACCTTTGTGGTAGCATGTCTTTTTATATATGTAAAACTGTAAAGCTATGACAAGAGACAGATGCAAAAAGTACATTCAATCTTTCCTTTAGGAACAGTTTTAATTTAGCAGGAAGCATAGTGAAACTCAAGCAATTAAAAAGGACACATATTATGGAGAGCTTGGAGCATGTAAGGTCACTCTCATTGTGCATGTTGAGTCAAGAGTGACAACATTCCTCCATCACACCATAACTAAACTAATTCTAAAGTGCATTAGTTTATCCAATTTGTCACATAGACATCTTCGTAAAAGTCTATACGTGTATGCATGTATTTAATAATTTATATTCATGCATGCGAGTTAGACTCACATGCAGGATTGAGCAGATGAAGCTGGTTGGTGTGTGAATAATCCCTTGCATGTTAAGAAAAAGCTCTGGAATCCCACTTTAATTAGGCTTTTTCTGTTTGCTATCTGACTTGTTTAGGTTCAGAAAATGATAGGTCTTCATTTTATTAGTATGGACAAGCATTTGTGTGCAAGTTTTCTGGTAAAATTGGACTTGTGTGAGGATGCACATTTTCTGATCATTTCTGACATAAAAACAGACAATAAACAAATGTATTTTTTCACTGTCAAATCGAATTTTCATTATTTTCCTACCAGCATACATTAATTTTGCTTTTGGTAAAAAGATCTCATCATGGATTCTCGTGACTGTTCTGTGTAATGTCAGATCTCATCCTCTCAGTGTGAACATGCAAGAACCAGGTCATGATGGAGGAAAAACAAAATACTTTGTTTGGTGGACCCTGGGATCTGCTACAGAAGGGGCAATATCTAGTTTAGAATGTAAAGTGTGTGCATGTGTTGGGGGCTGCAGGGAATGTGGTAGGGGGCTAACTGCAATCAGAATTAGAACAGCACCATTCAGAATTGGCCTGTTTCTGATTTGTTGTTTAGCTTTGTTGTAAAGCTTTGACCTTTGACCAAGTTTAGATGATTCTGTTTCGCTTTTAGTAACCTAAGAGTCCCCAAGAACAATATTCTAAAGCATTCCCACTGAAAGGAGTAAATTGATTGTTTGATTTAGGAGCAGATGTGACATGTCATTACTGTTTGATGGAGAAACTGATGTTAAACAGAGATGAAAGGAGTATTTTAAAGCAAAGCAAAAGCTGTTACACAGTACAGGATTTTATACCAGCAATACACACAATTATCAAAACTGGCTGAGCTATCATTACATATACCAAAACAACAGTGTCTGCGTATTCACAACAAAAGGTAGACGTTATTTTAACTTTAAGATTCCCAACTTTTCAATCACAGACCAAGGCTTAGAGCTCAAAAATGAATCGAGATGTACTGGTATCAGTTTTTAAGTTCACAAACTAGTAAAGTGTTTTGACTGACCTTTTTATAAAGTGTCAGAATGGAGATAACACTTTTTCCCCCCTCTTTTTTGCCTTTTACCTCACAGATGCACACACATGCTCCTCCTTTGGTACTCCACTAAGTGGGACAGAGAACAGGCACAAGGGGAGTGCTAAGTACATGTGTATCAACAACATAAGTAAACTGGTGGTTAGTAGTAAGCTTCATACCAACCAACAGTTTACAGTGATTAGCATGCAGCAATATTAGGCTGTAAGGCTATTTAATAAATAGCTTAGTAATGGTGAAAAAGCTGTGCTTGTCTCCTTTTCTCCATAAAACTTCTTGATCAAAGTATTTTTATCAGTGTGACATGATGGTGCTTAAATGCTGTGATCACTGATCCAGAAAAAAACAAGTGTTATTTCTTTAAGCAACAGCAAATAAGCATTTCACTGAAAAAGCTCAAAATGCTGTAATCACAGCCTCCAAATGAAGCCATTAATCAAAGAGTTACAGAAGCTTTCACCCTGCCAATGAGCATTAGCCACTCACTAGTTGCAGTGGTCTAATTAATCAATCTTCACCTTCAAACTCATGTCCATTAGGTCAGTGATGAGCAGACTCAGTGCACTCTACACACCTATAAATCTTTGCTTGTCAGGGATTAAAAGAAATCCCACCAAGCTTGGCTCAGCAACTTACTCTCCAGCAAACTTCAGTCAGAGACAAGAAAAGCAAATATAATGATAGTCATTTCATTCTTGTCGTTTCTGTAATTTTAGAAATTAGTTTGAGTCTAAGGTTTTATGCAACAGCTTTTGCTATCAACCATAGCAACAAAGCCACCTGCGGATTCTTTGTTTTAAAAATGTCCAGCTCTTACACACACAATCCATTTCAGGTCTCAAGTGAGAAACTATTGATTGAGCCACAAATCTAACAAAAGAAGCTTAAACTGAGTAACACCCACTCTCCAAGATCAATCCGGAAACATGACTCAGCATGATATTGCTCTTTTGGAATAAAAAAGGATCTTCTACTCCCCAGAGACAAGCAAGAGTTTTTAATCAGCAGCCAACATGTTACTGCTGCTGCCTGCAGTTCTGTCCAACTGGAATCAGACCAAACAGCCTAACATTTAACACCTCAACAGTCATTGTGGGAATAAAGCATAGGAACTCTTAGTCTGCCTTCTCCCACTCTATATTTTTCCTCTTTTTCATCTATCCCCCTATTGTCATTTCTGGTCCCTCTTTTCATTGTATTTTTTCTGCCTTGCTTTCCATGTCTCTGGTGGATTGACTTTTTTGGCCGAGCTCTCAGATAAGAAGGCAGTGTGGCGGAAGAGCTATTATAGGCAGCGTGCTCTGATCAGGGAGGTTTCAGATCCCAGTGACAAAGACTCTTCTTATCAGACCCAGGACTCAAGCAAGAGCACTGAGGTCTTGCCTCACCTTCCTCAGGATAATTATAGATTATATAATGTGCCAATCTTAGGAGGATCAAGATGAGATGACTCCCTGATGCATGTCACCAGTCAGGCAGATTTAGTTCTTTCAGACTAATCCATGCAATAGAAACAGATGTTTGTTTTTTACAAATATAAATATTTTACTTGTATGATACAAATCTGGCAGCACATTAACAACTACTAATTTATCATTAATTCACAGTATTCAGTAGACTTACAGTCATGAAGCCATCCAGTAGACCAGAGTCAGGTTTTGGTGGAGCCTGTAGTCTCTCCATGGACCATTTCTCAATGATCGAGGCAACTTGACTGTTCTCGGTATTAAGGATCCTAAACCCCGTCATGTTTACACCACTGTATCTGTAAGGCTCCACATCCAGTGCAAACAGATCCTGGAAAGAAAGAAATCATGGTAATCAGGAGTTTGATCCACCTCAGAAATTTGGTCCAAAATTAATTGAACCAAATCAGTGGCACTAATAACAGGATTTAATAGTAGATTACAAAGGATATGAAGTATGAAGAATCAAATTAATAAAGTAGATAGAAGAAATGCCTATGTTAAGTTTAAAGCCTGTCCTACAAAAAATAAAGATTAGACAAATAGAAGAAAATCATTCTTAGGCTGGGGGTGGAATGGATGTAGTTAAAATGGTGGTAATACCACACTGTGTATGGTATTAGCATAAACTATATATATATATATATATATATATATATATATATATATATATATATATACACACACACATACATCTTGCACCAATGACCATGCTATGTTCAAAGTCACTTAAAATCACCTTTCTTCCTCGTTCTGATGCTCGATTTTAACTGCAGCAGATCGTCTTGCCCATGTCTACATGCCTATATGCATTGAGATGCTGCTAACATTTGTGTCAATGAGCAGTTGGACAGGTGTATCAAATAAAGTGGCCAGTGAGTGTATGTGGTGGTTAGGTTGTGAAGGGGTACGGAGCCCCCTAGGGGACAAGGGGATTTTTTTTTCTTTTGTGTCCCCTCGCAAAGTATTGCGGTACCTCACAAAAGGTTTTGCAACAAAGCATCAGCAGCTCACAACTTACCAGTGTGGTGAAGATGTAGTGATAATACTCCGTCATCATTCCCATAGCTAGAGCCTAGAACAAAGAGTGACAGATGGAGAGAAAACTGGAAGGTTTAGAAATAAATTTGACCATTTCACCATATTTGCACAAATGCTTACACACAAATATTGGTTTGGTTGTTTGCCTTATCCAATGTTTCTATTACCATGTAATGCAAGAAGGCATACATTTCACAACTGCTGCAGCCAAAGGCTTAAGAGTGAGAGGCAAACACCCACAAAGAAGACAAGCAGCCAAGGACAGCAAAAGACAGTTCAGGATAATTTTTTATTTTTATTTTTATTTTATTTTTTTAGCAAATTCAAGATAAAACAGCATAGAGGATTCCACAATTTCATAGATAAAGAATATCTAGCTCATGATAAGCAGAAGCCCCACACCAACTGTAGCAACACTTGGAAATTATGTCACAACAAGTTAATTGTTGCCATCTGAATTTAACTGATCAAATAATAAGCAAGAGCGTCTCATTGGATAGTTACAACATGGACAAGTGTCTTCCAGCTACAGCATCTTCTTAAACACCAGCTGATCCGATGAGTAGTTTCTCAATTCTTAAACAATTATGGGACACTGTGTGCTTGTGTGACAAAATATTGGTGTGTTTAAGAAGGGTCAAATCATTAACATACATCACACACAGAAAGCCTCCAACAGGATTGCAGAAACTGGTAAAATAGGGTGAAGAGTTGCTCAGTGCATTATTAAAAACTGAAAGGAAAGGGGCTACCATTGTTTGAGGAAGAAATGTGGTTTGAAATAAAAACACTGAATAACCGTGATCACTGATAATTAAGAAAAATTGGTGAAATAAAATTGAAGAAAAACAACATGGCTATGTTTGATGATGAAAGTAAGATCATTTCTATACAATGAAGAGAATTTGAATGATTGAAACAGCCATAAGAAAAGCCATAAGAGGCCAACTGGAGAAAAGGGCTATCGTCTGCATAGAAGCACAAAGACTAGTCTCTAGAGAAGGTCGTGGTTTGATGAGTGATAACCAAAAATAAAACAGGTGATTTAGTGGGCTGAGGGTTTATCCCTGATTATTCCAGGTGATTTCAATGCTGCTTTTATTACACACATTTTGTTTGTCAATAATAAAGTAGTTCAGGCCAGCCATTCAACAAATATCCAAAAGTAGACACTATGATTTCAAAAGAAAATTCTTGCTCCTCCTCAATAAAAATCGTAAATGAGTAAAATGATCTATGAAGAAGCCCAATCCCTGACACTTATGCAACACAACCATCTGGTTGTTTACTGTCTGCTTTAATACATAAAAACAATAAAAACAATTTATGAAATACTGAAAAGGCAAACATCAGTTTATTCATTTCACATAAGGTTGTGAAACTGGTAAAGCAAAAAAAAAAAAAAAAAAAAAAAAACAATTAATTGAATACTGGCTTTCAGTAATTTCTTATCAACTCACAAAGCCATTGTTTGTCTTCCAGGTGATACATGTGCACATTCAGACTCTCACCAAGATATGTCTTAAAATGAGATGGGCTCCAGAGGTAAAAATCACCTTTTTCTATTATTATTCCGCTGTATGTGTGTGTGCGAGTCCAGAGTTGTGTGTGTGTGTGTGTGTGCGTGTGTATCTGGCTGTGAGCCATCCTGTTCTGGCTGTGCTTTTTCTGGAGCTCTGCCTGCTGTGAACTTTACCAAACCACAATGAATCACCAGTTAGCTCTCTGTGGAGCAGATGATTTCATAGATGAAAAGGAATTTTAGCTGCTGATGTCACATGAGAAACTATGACAAGCTCCAGCATTTTGTGGAGGAAACCAACATCAGCAAGGTTCCATCATATCGAATGCAGTAATGTTAAAAGACAAATATGGAAAGAAGACAAGAGTTCAAATGTTCCTAAATAACTAAGAGCTGTTAAACAGAAATAGAAATTATTTTGGTTCTAATTTCTATGATGAAGGTCAGTAAAATGACATAAGACAGTGAAACCACAACAGTAAATAATGAATAACGCAGCATCTCAAGAACACTCAGTACAGTTCTGGTTTTTTTAACTAAACATGCGTGACTACAAGTTTTACAGCATCAAGAGCAAAACTACAGAAATACAAAGAATTGAGTGGATGGCAGCAGTTTTTAAGAGTTGCAGTAGTGCTGTAGTGTTTCCACTTCTGTTCGAATTTAACGGCAAAGCAAAGTGTGCGTTCTGGACCTTTCTATTCCTAACTTAAACTTTTATACTAAAATTAAGGACAATCTGTACATTTTTCATGGCTTTGGAAATTTAAACATTACAAAGTGCAACTGGCTTCAATGAAGAGAAATCTAACAAAAAAAAACAAAAACATTCAGACAATAACTTGGGAGAATCAAGGTCCCGATGAATTGGTGAAAAATCATGAAAATATACAGTAAACAAGAAAGAAAGGAGTGATGACAGATACAATTTTCTGAACAAGTAGCAGGTAACTGAGGAAAGGCTGAATAATTGGCACAAGAGAAACTGACATACACATGTTCTAACTGAGCAAAAGCTAATAGTCTTTAGCTATTTAAACCAAATTTAACATAAAAAGACATAAAAAAAAAGAACAAAGAAACTGAAAACGGAATAAACTAATATAGAGAAATCCAAATAACACTAATTGAAATACCAATTAGGCGTTGAAAACCAAAATCCAAATAGCTTTGGCACATGACAACCGCTATATGATGTATAATGTTTAGTTCAAAAAGTTGGAATGGATATAAATTCTTACATACATGGCAAATAGTATATCAATATTGACTACAAATTAAAAGCTGAGAAATGTTTGTTTGTTTCTAAAATATAAATATTTTTAAGCTGTTTGCTTCATTAAGGAAGAAACTTTAATCTTAAGTGTTCTCATTCCTGATCTGTATGCAGCTAAATGTCTTAAATATAAATAACCAAAGTGTGTAAAGTTTTTTTCATCACAAAATCTCCCACTCTTCAAAATAAGAGGCCACATCACTAACCAGATCATTATACATGTAGCTGATTCCAAAAAGAGTAAGTTCAAAATAATATTGTGAAATTAAATTTGTGAGAAACAGATGTACTCTAATTTCTCATCAATTACAGAGTACATCTGTAATTGATGTTATCAATTACAGATTTATATATATTTATTTATATATAAATAAATATTCACATATTTATTTATAAATAAATAAATGAGTCTACATTGAAGTAGCAGCACAGAGCAATGTGTCCATACCTGCTTAAGGATCCCAGCAGCCATCACATGACCACAGTCGAATATGATATGAAATTCCTTTCCCCTTTTCATCTCCTTTAAAAGAGGCTTGGAATCTTTTGTCTCTGCAGGCAGCTGGCGGATTTTTAAGCGAATGTTGTACCGGGATGGTGCCTTTATTAGCTCTTGCAACCGAATTAGACCTGAAAGACAAGCACATAAGCAGATCACTTTCAGTATAATTAATCACAGCCATTTCATCAAGCAAATGTATTGAAAATTTTAAATCGTAGTCGAAATTTGGTAAATTACATTACTGATGTAACAATTGGTCTTTTGTTGGAACTGTTTAGTGTATTGAAGTTAAACATTTCTAATGACACATCCAGAGAAACGACTCCCCCTGTCTCTGCCTCTCATCCCTCATTTCATGGCTCAGGTTATTGTGCTAGAGGACAAACTGATCACTTTTCCTCATTTTCTTTTTCTACGATTCTTTAACTTGTCCTTAGTTGGGTTCTTCCTCTTGAGTCATGTCCACATTTTCCACACACATCCTGAAATGTTTTCAACTGTTTTCAAATAAGACGGCTTTCCCGTTTTGGAGATATGCAATGTGTTTTAGGGGTGAAGTCATCAGCATTTATCTGATCCATTGCTGGATACATGGTTCTGTTGTTTTCTTCCAGAAATGTGCAATCACTGTTTTAACTTTTAGTGGGTGTATATCAATGCAAACGTGGCAATCCATCCTTTTACATGACACATTACATTCTATTAAAAGTCATATTCAATATTTGAAATAATTTCAATTGAGCAAAATACTTAGGCTATAGGTAAAAGTTATCAATTAGGTTGGTTAAAAATGATCATTGCACTGTCAGTGAATGACTTCTAATCAATGTTCTTAGCTACCAGAGGGAAACAGTAAAGCCTTCATGAACTCACAGGTTCAAACTGAAGAATAAAGAGGATGGATGCCATCTGCTGAAATCCATTGCTGTCTTCCATGTTCTTTCAGTAAACAGTTGAGAAAGAGTTATGTTTGGTCTCACAGTTACTTGAAATTTTACCTGCCACTGAAACTATTCTTAAAAGTGTATCTGTTAGTCTGCTGCTCGTGACCAAACCGGCCGAGGAGATAAAACCTTAAAACACTCAACATAGCCTTGTACACAAGCTCTAGTTGGGTAACCCCAAGATTACCGGGTCTTCTTAAAAGACAGAGCTCTGAGAACAGTTCTTTAAAATATATTCTGTGTTTTCAGCAAAGTTGAGCTGACTGTCCAGGAATAACCCAAGACATTTAAAATTTGCTTCACTTTCAACAGGTTGGCCATCAAGAGAAATTGGAACCACTTTCAGGTCTTGTTTAGGTCATTTAATAAGGTATACATCTTAAAGAGAATAATAATATTCTCATTTAGTACTGTAATTATATTCATTGTGTTACCACCCGCAAGCCACTAGAGGCAGTAGCAGGCCTGAAAAGATGCAACAAAGCAGCAGATTTAGAAGTACAACGAAAGCTACAGATTTTGTTAAAAACTCTTAGCTGCACTGAAGTAAATAAGAGAGAAGTTCAAATACATGCCGAGAGTGAAAATCCTTCCTAAAGGTGAAGATAATTCACAGATTAAAAACAAAAGAACGGGAGACCACAGATAATTTAGGAAATGTCGTCCCCTTCACTTCCGGAGTGTAATGGTCCCGTTTCCAAATAAGGTACGAGACTGACAGTGGTCCATCCCCGCCCCTTTCCGTTTGCTGCAGCGAGGTCCTTCTCTCTTTTGGGGCAAATGTAACACAAGTTATAACACCCAGACCTGCTGTTTAAAAAGAAGCCGAAGTATGTCACCTAATACATATGAAGTATGGGTCTGATGAACTTTACATTTTCTTTGAGAAAATAACATTGACTGTGTTCTCTTTCTTTGTATTGTTAGATATGAGTAATTCAAGCCAATGCTACCTTGCTGTAAGTTAATTTTAGATAAATTTATTAAACTTTATTACTGTAAGGTTAGCCCTTAATCCTAAACATATTTTAAAGACTAAAATATAAAAAATAAAAGCTAATACGCCATTCAAAACTATCCTTAATGTGCATTATTTAGCAACTTGGCTAACGTGACATGGTGCTTTTGCTCTTTGCCTTGGCAACTTTAGCCACATGAAGACCCATTAGCCTCAGGACACATGGTGGGGAGTGCGGTAGACAAAAGAGGCCAATGAAAACATGCTACATGTGTAGAGGATGGGAATGAGGACCAGCCACAAGATAAAGAAATCCCTGTTTGACCAAAGCGAAAGAAGCAGATGGAATAGTCTCCACCAATATTAGGCAAGCCATTTTTGTGTTACCATTTTCTCCAGGTGAAGGGTGTATGTGAGGGGACAGGTAAGGGGGCAAAGGGGAGCAAGAATCAACATCCACCAGCTGAGTTAACAAGTTACATTTTAGACAGCTAATTGTTGTCAAATGTAAAACTAGTGTTTAATCTATTTAGTTCCTAACTTCTTAAGCCATAAACCAGAATATCTAATTGGAAATAATTTTGAATGCTCATTAAGTGAAAAGATACACTCATGTGCCAAAAACAATACATTAAATGATGCAATCTGAATAACAGTGGCAGGCTGTATGAACTTCTGCTAAATATTTGATCAGAATAATTTTGTTAAGCTCTAGTCATTATGCTACTTGTATTAAGAAATTATTTATATTTGTTACTGGTTGTTACTTTATAACAATCAGTTATGTTAACTAGACATTTGCCTGCCAGTCTGAAGGTGTGCAGCAAGGGACATTTTTGGAATGGTATTTAAATAAACGCTGAATTAAGATCACATTACATTTTTTAGTTGTGTTTATTCCTTTTTTGAAGTGACCTCAGTGGATTGAGTCTTCACCCACTATGAGAATGTCCAGAAGAGTTTCACCAAGTTTGAATTCATGGAAAGGCTTTCACCATGATTAACATTCACCACATCTATTACAAGAACAGCTATAATTTCTGAGCATTTCTAGACACTTTGAAGAGCTTCTTCCAGGAAATTATACAAGAACAAGATCTACCTGTTTTCAGAACTTTACAGGGAGAATATAATGAAGGAGATGGCTGACACAACCAAAGCAAAACATGTTAGGACTGTTGAAAGACCCTATTTTCTTAAGTTAAAGAATAAGCAATTCTGTTTTAGTTTTTCAATCAGTATTTCAGAGTTGCACTTTACTGAACAGAAGTTAAACCCTCTGTTTGAAGAACAAGTTTTGGGTTTGTTCTACAGCTATGATGGTAGTTAGACTTAACATTAAATATAGCAATATAATATAGTACTTGATACTGTAATGACAATTAATGACATCTTCATAACTGGCGCTACTTATTCCATTTGATGTAAGAGGAATTATTAATTCTTTTGGGGCGTGATGTGGTGGCACAGGGGGTTAGCACGCCTCACGTTTGGAGGCCTCAGTCTTTGACGCAGAGGTCGTGGGTTCGACTCTCGGGCCCGCAACCTTTGACGCATGTCTTCCCCCCTCTCCTTGCCCTCTTTCCTGCCAGTCTACTGTCAAAAAATGCAAGTCACTAGCGCCACTAAAAACTCTTTGGAGAAAAAAAAGGAAAAAAATAAAAATAAAAAAATCTTTTAACAGTGTAATAAGGCTTCATGGACTCTTTATTGAGGACCTATTTGTTCCACTTTATTTCAGGTACGGAAAATCATTAATTACTGTTTTGTTAAAGCTTTTGACAGTATAATAATAATGACATTATTATGACTGCTATCATGACATTTATGACATGATTCTTTGTTAATGTCAAGTTGTCATAAAGACATTTTTGAATAATGTCAACATTGTATTAAAAGTGTCATGATTTACCGAATGATACTTTATGACAACAGTCATAAGTATTCATGAAGATTTACTCATGTTCATGACAGGTGTTATATCATGTTTATGACAGTGTCAGTCAGTGTGAGTCTTACTCACACCCTGTCAAATAAAGTGTTACCAAAAAGGGTTACTTTGATACTCTAAAATGCAAGTGTTGAGAAACTTCAATAAAACAGTTTCTAAGGAAACCTAGCAGATTACATTGTGTCATAGACTTAACAGCAATCTATACTGAGCATGCATGGAGAAACAGTGTCTCTGGTAGTTCTGAAAACCTAAGTTATCATCGGGATGCAGATCCTGGAAAAGGCAGAAAAATTACATGTTGGAGTGACTGAACATCTGACCTATACATATTATCTGCAGAATTTATGGAATGAGAACATATTTAACACATTTTTGTCAGATTGCCTGGGTATTAAGATTTATCACAGAGCAACCAGGCCTGGTTCTGTTGCAAACACAGTTGGACATAGCTTCTGCAAACAGTCATTTTCTAAACTGATGTAGAAGTGTCATGTGGGTCTGCTCACAGCCCAACATAACCAGCTGTTTCTCTTGTGGCATTATTTGTTTACTTCCTGCTTCCAGATGAGTACACTGCACTGTGAGAAACCAGCCCACAGACTGCTGAATCTGTGACAATGGCTCCCTGTTTTTCATTAAATCAAGCACTCTGTCGATGTAATGCTGATATTCCCAAAGTGCTGACTTGTGAGACACTGACTGTGTTCTATGTAACTATCAATTGTCAAAGTGACTTACAAGTTGCGCCTCACAACAGGAACAGTCTTGATTTATCTCAGAGGTTTGCTGATGTGTCAAAGTATTTTTGACCAGGGCAATAGATAGTCTGTCATGACACAATAAGTTGAGTTTAAATAAAAAGAGAGGTCTTTAACTTAACAATGTTTTGCAAATATATTACCTTTTAGAAATTGTTAAATGCATAAAGTATAAGCTGATGAATGCAAAGAGTTACAATTTTTTAGTAATTTGAGCAGTTTGATGTTTTGCTATCTGCAGATTGGTGTTTGCTCCTGGGAAGGCTATTTTTACACAGTCTCTCTGTGTAAAAGAAAAGGTCCTACATTATCTGGGCTAACAAAACTGTAAAGTTTTAAGGGGAAAGTAAAAGGTATGTGCAAATCCAGACCACTTTGTTTAAGCACTTTCTATTTACAGTTGCCCTTGACACATCTTGTATAGAAAATGGAACTGATGAAGGCAAACCCATTTAAAAGGAGCCAAAGGCATTTCAGAGGCGAAAGAACTTATAACAGTGAAATGTTGGCTGTA